CCTGATTGTTTTATCATTATTTAATTTGGGGCTCACCATTTCTACAGAAACTAGAAAGTTGCTATTGCCGTCAAAAACATATTTTTCTGTCTGTGGAATTCTTGATTAAGCTCCTCAAAACCGAACGTGTGTGTGTCCTTCGCTAGTGTCTTAATCATTGTCATGGATACAGTCATGTGAAACTTTTCGAAAGCCTTCATTTCCGAGTATGCTTAGGAACAGGGCTGACTTTAAGAACAGGGTTTTCTATGGACAACAGAAAAGTGGGTGAAGGGAGACATAGGTCTATATAAGACATGAAAATAATAATAATTTATAAATTATCAAGGGTTCATGAGGGATGGAGGGTGAGAGAGAGAGCGGCAAAAGGAGAAGCTGATACCAAGAGCTCAAGAAGAGTTTTGAGAATGAGGAGGGCAAGAAATATACAAATGTGCTTGACACACAAGGGATGGATGTATGGATTGTGATGAGTTGTTTGAGTCCCCAATAAAATGATTTAAAAAAAAAGAATCAGGTTTTCCGTAGTATCACTAATATTTGCAGGACACTCTCTAATTGCTGGTATACCCATGTGTGTGGCATTATATTTCATGGTGTTTATCTGTATTGTCTTTCCTACTCAAGAGTTTGAGCAAGTTGTCTTCTGCTTGTTGGGCATCTGTGTTTTCTCTCCTTGTGAAAGGTCTGTTCATGCTTTTTTTGGCCCACTTTCTGGGGCACAGCACTCAAAATCTGAAGAGTTTAAATGCCAGCAGGTCTTCGCCACTCTAACTACCAACAACCCCCTAAAGATATTTTCTTCCATCTGGAGACCTAAAGGTGTCATGATTTCGAAACAATGTAAGGAGGGTCTGTGCCATTCCACCCCCGCCCCCACATCCTGATTTGGGCCGCTCTTTTTGTCATGCAAACTCCTGAGACAGGCGGTGCAGGATGGCCGCCCTCAGGCAGTGCCCCTGGACTGAGCAGGATGATGTAAAAATGGAGCGTTGCGGGGTTGCTAGGTGATGAGCACAATAAAGGGGTGCGGGCTGAGAGTTCTGAAAGTCGGTGAGAGGCTCGCAGGCGGTGGTAAGGAGCTCGCCGGCCGCCGAGGAAGTGGTGCTTGGCTAGCACTATGGAGATGCCCAGAGGGCCCAGAGGGCCAAGGTGGGTGCGCTGGCGGGCGTGGCGGCCCTGCCCCTCTCCCTGCCCCGCCCCCCACCTGCCCCGCCCCCTGACGCCCCACCAGTGGCCGGAGCTAAAGCCGCTCCAGGGGCGGAGCCTGCGTCCAGCGGTCCAGCTACCGCCGGTGGCCTCGGCCTCGGCCCCGAAGATGGCGGAAGGCACGGGTGCCGGCCCGAGCTCGACGC